ATTTTAGGATGCGTTGTTAATACGAAGTCAAGGACCAGAGCTTTGATAGACCTCACAGAGCAGTAGAAGATTTGTCGGCACAATGGTTTCGACAGTTTTGGAGGGGGAGGATGTTACGGGGTTGCACGGTGGTTATTGAACCGGTCATGTTGTGTGTCCACACCAAGTAAAGATCGGTGGGTCTGAGTGGTACAGTCTTGGTACCATGTACTTACGGTAATACCGCACCTTATCGGTTTGGGATAAGAGATAAGACTTCTGTCATAGGATCGCAATGTAGAAGTCAGTCAGACAAGGTTTAATGGATCTATTACCGTAGTTAAAGAATAAATAAAGTTCAACTCCCCTTTTGAATCGTTCAACACAAGTGCCTAGTGAAGGCGTAGTGTGTTAATAGTGTGTTAATAAGAGCATTAGCCTTGTAGAGGTACTTACTCTTGTTTAACTGGTAGTGACTAATTAAAGTGTGATTCTGTGAACCGTAATCCCTTTAGAACCAAGATTGTTAAGCTTGTACGCTTAAAAGACTGTACGTCGTTGTTAGTTTGTAAAAACTAAGCGACTCTATGAGTCTTAAAATTCTTCAGCTAAAGAGCGCTAAGTAGCTCTGCTACGCCACCAGCAGTCTAGTTTCTTAAGTTAATCGGCTAGCTTGTCCGAGGGGCCGATTAGATACACCTTGGTTTTTTTTTATAAAATCATTCGAATGCTTAATGTAAAACTTTCTGCACCTGCTTCTAACCATTTTGAGCTCTAGTCGATTTGATAACGTCACCAAAATCGTAGAGCTTTCGTCACTCGACGAATCGTACAGGCTGGAATCACTATGTACTCAATTTTTGTGGACAGCTGCTCGTAAGCTTAACGCAAAATGACTCGTCGACTATAGTCTTATCCTCAACCGTTTTTCCACTCAGGCCGTCTATGTCGGCTATTTCCTCGGCTCCCTCGTCGGTCGTCTTGACGATCGCGTCAGCTAACCTGGTGGTGGTTCCCTCTTACATATCGTTTTGACAGATGTTGTTGAGCACTATCTACACTTCCTTCTTAGCGCCGACTATCTATATCTTCCTTCCTGTGACGACCCAGCCCGCGACCAGTGCTCACACAATCATGTTGTTGTTTAAATTTCATTACCAAAAGTCAGCGAATAATCCTTTTCTTGATTTGCTGAATGTCGTCGAGACGCTGCGGGTACATTTGAGTCATTAGTTCCTTCAATATCGCACTTAAACTTGAAAGCTTTACAGCGGCTTATCTGATCCCGCCCCTCTTTCTAATACTGTATCGCCGCCTTCCGTGCGCACCTTGTTAATTGAGGCAAGAAGTCACACACTTGTCGGTTTCACTTCATATCGCTGATTACTACCTCAACTTAGCATACTGGTCGACATGCGATCCGTATTATTCGATAAAGGCCTCGCTGGTCAAATAACACTTTCACTGCGTCTTCTTCGAAAGTTTTCGGCACTTAACCTTTGCTGCCTTGTCCAAGAATTGCAAAAATGAATCACACCAATCTTCATGTGGCTTAATATTGCCTTCGTTTAGTAAGTGATTCCATTGCAACGCATCTTCATTCGGTAGCATCTTGGTCCAAGCTTAGAGATCTTGCCAAGTGGCGCGCCTTTGTATTTCCCCAATCTCCCCGGTCGCTTTAGCATATCTACAGCTTAGCTGACAAATGTGACCATTCGAGAAGTCATCGATCTCTCGGTCGTCGTCATACGCGTCTTCGCCCGCATCATAGTCTTCGTATCCGGTCCTCAATGTCTTCTTTATGTTACCTTGGTCACAGTGTTTCTGTCAGTCACTGTGTACGCTGTTGACGCAGAAACTGGACCAAGTTTGTCTGCTTCTTCCATGATCCTCTTGTCGTGGCGTGACGCCGGTGTCTTTAAGACCTTGAGCATCTTGTCTGCCTGCGCTTTTAATTTAGTGGTATCAGCACATTTGTTCCGCTTGCCACGCCGAAAGCATCGTTCAGCTTGCGCCTTCACTTCATCAGCTTGACCCACATTAAACGAGTCTAAACCTGGATGATGTTGATGTAGAGGACCTGGTGCCGCCTTATATTCAGTTCGCGTAGTAAAAGTACCTCTTTATTAGACTATTTCATTCAAAGACGTGCTGTTAAGTGGTTTAAATTACTCTCTTCAAATCCAATCATGTCGCTTTCGAAGGTTCTCTTGAACTTAAAGCTGAATTTAGTGTCTCTTCTTCATCTTCTTGTCGAGTTGGTTCAACGTACGGTTCTCCGTAGGCTCCTCAATATCCATTGTGGCTATGGGAGCTAGACGGGGCCGCTCACCAGGGGTTTGTCTTGAACTCTTTCTTTTCCTTCAACGCGCTCGTTGTCCACGCATCCTCAAATCTCGCGAAGACGGCTAGTATGATCTACACACATAAAGATAACGTTCTTCCGCTTCTTTGCCTAGTCCAAAGAAGTCGTTGTGTTAAGCTCTTCCATCCTCCTCAAAATTCTAATCATTCAATTTTATGTCGTCAACTGAAAATAATCGATACTCTTTTGCGTCTGCAAGGTCGCGCTCAGCCAATTTTATTTTTAATCTAGCATGCGGAGTCCATTTAGATTTCGCCATGGTCACGCTGATCGCATCGCTCGACTCGTTAACCATACTTTTCCTTGGTTGCTTTACACCTGCTAAAATAGCACGCCTCATATTCTTGAGTCGCAGCACCTGTTGTGATTTAGTAGTCAGATAAAACTGCGATGTTTAATTACAACTTGACAAACACAACAATCTCCGAGTAATTCCCCATAGTTACATTTATTCGTCAGTCAAATTTTTATTTGCTGTTCGCCCCTTCAGAGTTCAGCTGTGCCTTTCGTCTTCGCTGAGTACCCACGACCACCCTTTATATTACAAGCTCGTTCTTGCCAGCTGCTTTCGCTCCTAAACTCCTGTGACCTCACAACATGGGTGGTAGTCAAAATTTCCACGCGTTTACCGGTCACAGGGCGCAAAATACGGTCGACTTACAAGTTTTACGGTGTCTTTGGTTAAAAAACCACCGGCTATTCACTCGACGATTTATAACAATCGGTCTACTTGGCCACCGGCTCGCAGTAAAATTTCTGTAATGTAATTGGTCATCTCTCTTTTTACTTTATAGAAAGCCTCTTGTGTGGCTCCCTCGTTTACCCTTTCATCCTACTAGTTCTCCGGTACGGGTACCTAGCGAATTTGAAAAACTCGACGATCCCTAACCTAACGATACTCCACTCGACGAGATTAATCGACAAGCCCTACTTGATAAATTCACTCCGTTTTTACCTTAATTAGTTGAGTCTCAACTCGTAGATACTAGATGGTCGTTGTAACGGGGCACCCTTTGTGTGGGGAGCCGCGAAACTTCACGTACACTAGTATGTGCAGAGGAAGCTAATCTACTTGAACGACTCGGTCAAGTAAAGGTAAAAAGAGAACTGTATTTGATTAGTTAAGCTATTAATATAGCTCTAATCATTATCTAACCATGTTAAACAACACCGTCGTATGACGACAACCTGCTCACCACTCATTGCGCGCGTCTAGTAGCGATTGGTGGCAATCTATGGTTAAAATGTCTAATATCAACCAATCTTGGAGCAGCGCATGAATACTATCAAAAGAGGATAATGTTCCTTCAAAAGTATCCATCCCGAATAATATCGGTGGAATATTGTCATGCTATACAATACTACTATTGACACCGTTTAATGTAAATTTCATGTAGCGGGCTACCCCGTTACATCACCCCCCCCTTAACTATCAACCACCCGTTGATTGAATTAGAATTGATTGGGACGGGGTGACCACCGTTGGATCACTCTGGGAAATGGAGCACTTGTTGGTCAAATTCCACTCATTTGCCAATCCAACGCATGGTTTCGAAAACCACGCGAGCTGCTACTGCAGCAGCAAGAAAGGCGGCTGCACGCATGCGTGCGGCCGCGGAAAGTGCCTCTCACGCCTCAGCAGCAGGCGATTCGTCGCCTGTTGTCGTGAATCCTCCACGTGGTGAGTCACCACGTGCGACAGGTGCATCCGTTGCGTCTGCAGCGGGTACCTCGAATCGTAATCCAGATGAGTCTGAGATAGAGCTCATCTATTTTGGCGAGTCGAATGATGCAACCGACTCGAAGGCGACTCCGCACGCCTCGGGATCACCCGGGGTGGACGCTGCAAAAGCCAGGCTGACTGGCTCTGGTCAGCGCGGCGGCATTATGACCGAGATCTTTGGATCGAGTGATCATTTTGATGAATCCCCGCCTCACGCAAGTTCATCCATCGATTGGACGCGTGGGGATGGTGGTGATGCACCTATACATCACCACGAGCGAAGCAACTCAAGGGATCGGGGTAACACTGGTATCAGTGCTCATGCTGGCACCAATCAAGAGGCCAGGGACCAGAATGTCCTGCGCCACGCTCCTCAAGTGTAGTCCCCGTGGATGCCGCCATCCAGAGAGTTGGACCGGTTTGCCGGCACGACTACCGAACGGGATCGAATCCCGTTGTTCAAATGCAGGAAGATTTGCCCTCCTGACTTCAGCACGGAAACTATCCATGATAGCGGAGAGGTCTTCCCCGATGCGTTCTTTAAACATCTGTGGTACAATGGTAGCCGTGTTCGGGACGGCAAAGCCTTTATGCAGGGATGGAATGCCCTCATCCACAATATCGAGTAAATTGGCCGTGAGGCCTGGCTCGTTAAACTTGATGCAGCTCGCATCAGGTTTGAGAAACGCAACCCAGTCGGGGCGCGATACAAGTTGCACCGGCTTTCAAGAGAGGCAGGATTACCCTGTCTCTCGTAAGGTGATACGTGTCCAGGTTGCCTGGACAACTCGCACACAACGGCCTACCTCCCTAATGATCCCTACTGGAGGGCGCGCATCTCTTCCGAGATGGCCGAAGGGATTGAGACCTTGCAATCCCTGTACTCGCGTTCGGGGAGGTCGTTTTCCGACGGCCCTTCATCAAACGCAGCAGATGGGTCTCGTCGTGCTGCTTGACGAGACCAAGGACATCAACAATCAGCTGGACACGACACTACCAGATGTCCCACGCCTGTGGATAACCACGAGCGGACGAGGCAACTCTTCCGAACGCCATTCACATCGCGGTGGTTCAAATTACGCCCCACAAGGAAGCGTTGACCACCGCTTGAGTCCACCAAAAGATGTGGTGGCGGTGAGAACACCTGTTCAGGATCGAGGGTCGGATCAGCTTGATTTTCAAGAGCTTAACCGTGTAACGGAAGAGTTGCAAGATGACCTGGATCACGAACGGACTCGGCGTTACGAGTACCATGATTTTAAAAAGGATAATTACAATTTCTTAGCGCATGATCGTTCGAGTGATCGTGCCGGTTTTGCGTTCGCGCAACTTGAGAACGAACGTTCGACTCGTTCTATTCGTGATGAGCTGGCTCTAGCTCGTCGAGACATCGCTGAACTGCGTGAACAGGTCTCTCCGCTAGTCGACCAGACTGGCTCGCTGAAACAGACCCACTCGAAGGTGGTCTCGGCTCTCGGCTGCGGAGGTGTTCTTCGCATGTCGAAGCGGGCTCGTACTGATAGTACGGGCGAAGACACCGACGTAAAACGTAAAATGCGTACGCATCTTATGGGGCAGTTCAATCGTGTATGCGTTGCCCATTCGGCGCAACACACAAAATGAACCGATGTAACCGGACATTAATTTAATGCTGTCCACGTTTGTCACCGCGTGTTTCGGTAAGTTTACTGTAGACAGTAAAACTAGCTATCCTTCATCAAATGAAAGAACATTTGCTCTTCCACGTATGCCTGCGTTTCTCTTCTGTCTGTATAGTGCATCTGCAATAGTCTTGAGCGAAGCGGACAACCGCTTCGCGAGTCAGCAGAAATTCCTCTGCTGAATCATCCTTGTCAACAGCAGTGCGCTTCGTGTGCACTGCTAAAAGAACGTTGTTTTCACCAGTGAGGGTGTCATCGTCCTCACTTTGGCAGTCATTGGCGATGCTGAATATGCCAGCATCGTCATCATCGACATCATAAGCATCGATCCCATCGACATCAGCATCCATCACGTCGACACCGTTGTCGACGGGTGATGAGCAAGAACCAGATCGGTTTTTGTTCGAGCGAGTATACCTTCCCTTAAACGAGAGTCACACTCTAAGAAGGCGTGAAATCGTGGATGGCTTAGGCCGTTCACGAAGAACGGTGTATGCGTTGTAGACGCGTGCACCGAGTTGTTGATGGCGAATTCTGCCATTTGACCATCTGTTTCGGGATGGTCAGAAGTTGACATCGTCAAACGTGTTCTAAGTGAACGGAACACGGATTGCTAGAACTCCGCTGTGAAGCGGAAGTCCCTATCGGACACGAGTTCACGGGGTAACCCGTGAAGTCGGAAGATAGTATCGATGAAAACACGCGCACAGCCCTGGGCTGTGATTGACTCCGGTACAGCAACAAAATGTACCATCTTGCTGAACCAGCGATCGCGATCAACAAACACAAGAATACCAGTATTCTTGTGAAAGTCTTTGGGAAACCCGAAGACGAAGTCCATCGATACGGACTGCCAACACTCTGCTAAAATCGGAAGAGGCTGCAAGGGTGCACGGGATGAAGGACTAGGCTTCATCTGTTGACAAACTTCGCAAGCGCGAATGAATTTCCGCACAAACTCATCCTGGTGGGGCCAGTAGTAGTCACGACTCACCCTGAGAAAAGTCTATTCTCTACCGCGATGCCCACTTGTCGGGGCATCGTGCCACTCATACATGATGCGCAATCGCATATCGTTTTGAGCGGGAACGACGACACGAGGTGTGTTGCCGTTGACTGCTGTAGAGTACAGTAGCTCATCACGAACAGAACACCGTTCGGTTGAAGAGCGTTATAGGGACGACAAGCTTTTTAAAGCTTGACTGCATGGATAGGCTACATATTCCATCAACCGAAGAAGATATTCATCTTCTGTGTGTGCTTTTCGCACATCATCGAGCAGATTCGACGACGGAACACTCACTGTTAGTGTCGCGACAGTGGGATCGCCCCTACTGTTGGGTTGCGCAGTCGGCTCGAAATAGGGCCGACGCGAAAGAGCATCAGCGACGACATCAAGTCGTCCTGGTTTATACTCGACGGAGAAGTTGTACTCCGCGAAGAAAGACAGTCACCTAGCCATTCTTTGCGAGAGGTGTGGACTGTTTACGGCCGTGCGTAACGACGCATGTTCGATATAAACGATGAAGGGCCTATCTCCTAAGAGATAAACCCGAAACTTTGCCAGGGCATATTTTATGGCAAGGATTTCCTTGTCATGTACCGGATGATTTCGCTCAGCTGCTTGCAGCTGACGCAATTGATAACAGACGAAGCGCTCAACGCCTTCGGATTCGTACTGCCTTAACGCGCAGCCGATTGCAAAATCGCTGGTGTCACAGACCACATGAAATGGTCTATCCTGATCTGCGATTGCCAACACAGGCGATTGCACCAAGCTTTTCTTGATGCCTTCAAAAGAGTGCTGACACTCAGCGCTCCATGACCACCTCTCGTTTTTCTTTAGTAAACGAGAGAGATGTACAGTCATCTCGGCATAGTTGAGCGAGTATTTGTGCAAATACGCTGTCAAGCCAAGGAACTTTCGAAGTCCGTTGACGTCGACGGGCACAGGCCAGTCGCTAATCGCCTTGATCTTTTTCGGATCAGGGCGTCCACCGTTTTCACCTACGATGCAGCCAAGAAATGGTATTTCGTTCGCTGCGAATATACACTTCTTGAGATTTGCGAACAACTTATGCTCTCGCATTAGAGTAAGAACCTTCCGGATGTGGATTCTATGAACCTCCACGTCCGTCTTTCAATCCATAGACCGGATATGGACGAAGACATCGTCGAAGTAACTCGGTGCAAAATCTCGCACCAATCGCAACAGATTCGTAACACATCTGTTAAACGTTGCGGGGGCGTTACTTAGCCCCTGTGGCATCACTAGCCACTCCCAGAGCATACCACTGGGGGTGCTCACTGCTGTGTAAGGGATATCCCGTTCACGCATGAGGATCTGGTAGAATCCGTCCATCAAATCCATGGATGAAAAGATGGTACTTTTTGCCGTACCATCTATGATGACACCCTTTCTTGGGATCGGCGTTTGAGCCGGTACCGTTGCAGCGTTCAGTTTGTGGAACGCGTGCACTGTCCGCCACCCTCCTGTGGCCTTTCGCACACAGAACGTCGGAGAGCTGTGTGGGATTGTTGATTCCATCACATGACCAGCCGCTAAACGATCGGCGAAGAATTTTTCGATCGCTGTGACCTGTTCACGAGGCAGTGGCCACTGCTTCATGACACAGTATTTCCAACCAGGTTTCAGTTCGATCTCATGCCGAGTGCCTTTGTCCTTGAGCAGCTCGCATGGTACGGATTCAGGGAAAACATCCCTGAATTCCACCAAATCCTTATACAAAGGATTTGACTTTAATGACTGCCAAGATTGACACGTGTATCGCTCAATCTTAGTATACTCATCGAGGGCACTCTCGTATATAGCTGAACTACTGATAACTCGTTCGTTCTCAGCAAACACTTGTGCCGACCGAATATTGGCGACGTATTCGTCCTCTGTGACGAGTACGCAGATCTGCTTGATCTTGTCAGTACGCACATCTCTCAAGTATCTTTTAAATTCTAGCATTGGCAACTTGACTACCTCCGAAGCTAGCTTCGGGGGCGTCACCAGTCAAGTGTATAAGCACCTACACTTGATCCGTCATTCACCAAGACATTCACTGTCTTGGTGCTTTCCTGGGAATACACATTCGCAGGTGGTTGGGGATCCACACCCTCAACATAACTCTCTCGGGAGTTATCACTCTCAGGAACGCTGGAACTTTCTTCATTACGTGTTCTGAGTATGGACGCAATACCACAGTCACGATATCTTCGATCGACTCTATGTCAGTCGATCTTGCTGTGAAGTGTTGTTTATCCCGATCAGCACTCATCTCTCTTCTCGGATGCACCCTTCTTGGTCTGTATCCGTGTTCCAGTCCACTCGATCGCTTCGAGTGGTGAACCTTCGGCGCAGCCTGTGTCTCTGCACAGGTGCCAGAAGCTGGTTCCACAGTGTAGTGGCCTTCTACACTGTGTTCATGTGCAGTCGTACTAACGACCGTACCACAAGTGAGGCCATCGCACTCACTCGTAGTACTTCCCCACGCTTATAAACGCTCCAAGACGTTCATCAGATGGCCATCCGATGAACAAACGGCAGGCATCTTTGCGTATCGATGCTGCCAGCTAACCCATGGCCGGTACTTTCTAAGCCATGGCATACCAAGGATGACATCAAATTTTTCATCCAAATCTAATACGATAAAGTCATCATCGTACTGCTTTCCTTCTAGCCTATTAGTGGATTACCACTACACGTTTGTTCACTGTTACGGATGCGCCTGTAGCAAGGCACACCGTCATCCTCTTTGGAGGGAACTCTCGCTCAACATAGTTGAGACTACTGTCCCTTAGCGACTGGCATCGGATGAAACTGTTCGACGCCCCACAGTCAGCTAGGGCGCGAAGTGACATTCCACTTGTCACTTCGATCTTCAAAGTGATGAGAGACTCCTCATCACTAAGGGCAGTAACACACAGAGACTGCGTGCTGGGAGCAATCTTCGTCAAGAGTCCTGCAAATTTTCTTGACGTTGCTAAATGAGCAGGGTGCTCCGCCCCTACTGACCCTGACCGTTTTTTTACGGTTCGACTTGCTGTCTCGGCTTGGAGACATGGTAGGACCCACACCTTGTACCTTTACTTGGCCAACGGCGGTCATCACTTCCTGTCTTTGGACGTGTTGCAGTGCTCGGGACACTACACTCATGAGCGTAGTGTCCAATCTTCTGACAGCGATGGCATCTTGCCGTTCGCTTGTGACTCAGAGAGCGAGAGTTCTCGATGTCGATGTGAGAGATGTCCATTGGTTCGGGACCTCCTGTTTCCTGTCACCTCGTCGGACCATAGTTGGACGAGCTAGCCTGAGACTGTATCAGGCTGAAGTCTTCTTGTTCCGCATAAGCTATCGCCCTTTCCAGCGTATGTAAGTCCTCTTGGAACATGTAGGTCTTCACCGGCCCATCAACAAGGCCGTAGATGAGCACGTTGATGAGCTTATGCTCACCAACAGGGTTCTCCGTAACGCTACTTGCAAGGTAGCGCAGGTGCTGTGCGTAAGCGTGCACGTCACGCTTATCTTGCTTTAGCCTCAAGAGTGCAGAGCGTGCTCTGAACTCGGCTCTCGGCGGCTTAAACATCTCTTCAAGTCGAGAATTCAAGATCTCCAGCGACTCCAACACGTTTGGGTCGTGAAGCTTGAGCCCTAAGGCTTAAGTCTTAGCTCGTCCCGTCAAATTTAACAGGGCGAAGGTGACTTGCATCTCGTCACCCTCGATGTGACGGGCCCTGATGGCATCGTCTAACTCGACGAACCATCTCAAAAGGGAATCTTTATCGGTTCCCTTGTATCTTGAGATATCAATCTTCATGTTTTCGGGTCGACGCATGTGCGTCGGCCCACCCATCTATTGATGAGAGCCGTGCTGCCGTAGCAAGGCTATCTTCTGTCGTTCGACGGCAAGTTCCCCTTGTAGGAACACGTCCAGCATGTTGATGGTCTCTGCTTAGAGACTCCAACATGCCCTGATGGAGGGCTCGCCCTTGTGCACACTCATGCGGCCGACTACCTCCCATTCCGAGTCACTCAGATGGGAGTAGCCTTCACGTGTGACGGGAAGCTGTCGTCTTCTACGTCCAACATGTTCGTGTTGGACGAACACTAGTAGTCGTTGGACGGACTACAAAGTGCTTCCAAGTGTAACGGGGCACCCTTTGTTTGGGGTGCCGCAAAACTTCACGTACACTAGTACGTGCAGAGGAAGCTAATCTACTTGAACGACTCGGTCAAGTAAAGGTAAAAAGAGAACTGTATTTGATTTAGTTAAGCTATTAATATAGCTCTAATCGTTATCTAACCATATTAAACTACGCTGTTGTATGACGGCAACCTGCTCACCACTCATTGCGCGCGTCTAGCAGCGATTAGTGGCAACCTATGGTTAAAATGTCTAATATCAACCAATCTTGGAGCAGCGCATTATTACTATCAAAAGAGGATAATGTTCCTTCAAAATTATCCATCCCGGATAATACTGGTAGAATATTGTCATGCTAGACTATGTTCCTACTGACACCGTTTGGTGTCAATTTCATGTAACGGGCTATTCCGTTACATTTTTGCACCTCGTGTCGGGTCCACTCCGCAGTTTCGTCGAATTCTTGTCTTCTTTATCAGCTAAATGAAGATAGTACTGCTTTTAAATATTCTCTACACCACGCTAGGGTTTAGGGTATACCACGGCAGATCTAAAGGCGTTAAGAAACACAGCGTCTACTGCCACGCTTATTAGCCAAAGGATGAGCTAAAAAGAATTATCATCCTCTATTGTTTCCACAGCATAAATCGGTTGCCTTGAGTCAAATCACACGCATAGCGCTTAAGTGGCGTGAGGATGTCAAACACGACAGAAACATGCGTATTTATCAAAGGGAATGTTGTGAACCGACATCGCTTGGACCGAAAGAGTAATTTGTCGGACTTTGCACTTGCACAGCTTGTTAAGAGCTGGTACATTGTTATCTTTCAATGATTGATAGGCAGACATTCAGAACATGTCTCGGTTTTGTGGAGAGATAGCTAAGCTTCTAACGCAGATTAAATGTCAACAATGCAAGGACAAGTATCGCTTGTAGATGCTTAAGCACAATATATCGAGATAAGTTCTGTATTGACATATGGGCCAGAGGTTACCGACAGAGAACGTATGATGCATCCACACCATGCGTGGAAGTTCAAATATGTATATGTTGCCTTCCGGCTTAGCACACGGAATGGACCGATGAACTTAGGTTGTAACTCATCCTCAACAAGCTAGTTATTATGCGTCGTGGTAGTCTTAAAGTAGAGAGTAAAACTAATTTGCCTTCATTCAATGTAAGAAAATTTACCCTTCCATTATTTTTCCCCTTATTTTACGATTTACCGCTTCCGCGATAAAGTTTGTAAAACCAGATGACCGTAACCTGAGCCATGATAAATGAAGGTATATTTGCTCACTATTTTAAGCTTCAGTGCGCTTTAAGGGCACTGCAATACACACTGTTGCTGCTTTCAGAAGTACGTCTACGAGAACTCCGGGTGTGATGCCAAAATTGCTCAGTATTCTCGGCAGTAAGATCGCCATCGCTAAAACATTTCCTTTTTTTTCCAATATTGAAATGATCAACATCGGCACCATGCGTAGTGTTTTCTTCAGTAATGACAATTGACCGTTTTATAAAGCGATGAATGAGTGCTGAGTTAACGTTTCTTGAAGAATTTTCAAACCTATTTAGTAAAGTCAGTACCTAACAAAACGACTAGGCGACAATGGACCAAGTCATTCACAAAAATCAGTTTATACTTTGTCATCACATGCACCAAAGTTTTATTGGCAAATTACCGCTGGAAAGATTCGTTTTAACTCGTAAAACTGTGGACTCAGTCTCGAAGGATTATATAGAGGACAGAGTTGGTGCATATTGTATTAGATTGAATTTTGGTATAATAATCTTTAAATATAAAAACGTGCGTTCCAAGCGTTTTTAAAACATGGAGCTTTAGATATCAGCCGTGAAGCGCATCTCAATTAAAATTTAGCTCACAAATTATTCAATTAATGTGGCCGATCGTGTTGATAAAGACACAAGCGTAGCCAGATTATATGGCTGGTTCAGGGAATATTAAACAAAGTGAATAAAAGTTACTAAATACATTAATCAGCACAATGATATTACTATCTTCGAGCAATTATCAAAGGGGTATCAAGGCAATATCCATTGAAATGATGTCTTAGCAGCACACAAAATAAGGAAGAGGCTATTACGAAGCACGGAGGAAGGGATTAGATTTTTTGTTGTTTCACTTCGCAATCACGAACGTACTTGCGAACGAAATGATGCTGTCCGGACCGGTAAAATTCCCTACTCTCTGTGTGATGTTTGTTTTACGATCACGATTCCCGTCCCCGGATATTCGTGGTATATCGATATAAGACGCAACCTCTATTCGCCATGGTAAGGTACGACGAAACGAGGCACGTAGTCGGCAACTATGTTTATTACATTATCTCATTATACACTGTTTATTTGTTCTTGGAGGAGTATTACGCCGCCGGCAACTGTTTCAAAGTGTGTCGAGAATGTAATTGAATATTTTACGCACAAATAGTATATCTTCCAGCAAATTTGACGGCGGGATTTACGAAATCGACACCCTAATAGTGGTAGTACCACTGCTGGATCACGCAGCTAATTTGAAATTGGCCAGCGGAAGAGTGCACTAACGACGACGATACATCGTCCTGACTAAAAAAAAATTACGTAGGCATCTGTACTTCGCGAAGAAAAGACAGCGACCGCGCTCTATTTAGAAGTGGATTGTTGTTGATCGTACATAATGACGCATGGTCTTTTTCTACTATATGGTTCTGCTTTTACAGGTAGATTCTAAAACTTGCCAGTGCGTACTTCGTGGACAATTATTTTTGTTACACATGAATTTATTACGTTAATCTGGGTGTAGCTGACGATGAGATCACAGAACTCGGCGCGCTTTGCGCCGTCTGTATGAAAATAAAATAATGCAAAGCCAATCTTTAATTTTCTCTCATCACAAAGAACTTTAAATGGTCTGTCTTTCCAGCATTATCCGACTCTGAAGGACGTATCAATCTTTGATGATATTTTTTGAACGAGCGCTGACACCCAGCTCTCCATTTCCACACCTCATTATATCTCAATACGCGAGAGAGATAAGTAGGCTCATATACAAGAACTTTTTGTGCAAAAGACGCTACTGAGCCGAGATAATTGCAAAGTCCTTTTTATCGGTAGTCACTGTTTGATATGCTGGATATCCTTGATCTTTTTCTGGGTCGGGCCGCACGCTATTTTTACCAAATATTCGCACATAAAATTGACATTTTGCTAGCAGTAAATATAAACTCTTTGAATATGGTGTAGAACATTGTTTTGAAACTTCCGGGCGCGTATTAGATAAAATTCTACATCTATATTTCCGCTTATAGCTCGACTATGGAGGAACGTGTCATCAAACTAAGTAGGCGCGAAGTTATACACCGATCTCAAAAGATTACTTATACAAGTGTTTTATGTTGCTGGGCATTGCTTAATCCTGGTGGCATTACTATTCAATTTTAGATCATAACTATCTAGGTACTCACTGAATTTATGAAACGTCCTGTCCATGCAGCAGGATCTGATAGAATTACCCACGGACGCAAGATATGATAAACTTCACAGTACATTTGTATTAACGCCTTCCATTGAATGGCATCTTGACCAGGATCGTTGCAGCATTTAAATTTGTTAGATGCATGAACTCTTCACCTCCTTAGGTGAATTTTGCACGCATAATCTATTAGAGATGTGTGGGGAAGTATATTTCCTTACATAGCCGGCTGACAAGTATTCGGCACAGATAATTTCGATTGATATCACTTGTTGTTAATTTAGTGGTCACTGCTTAATGAAACATTACTTGATACAGTAATTTTAGTTCGATCTCCTGGTTAAACAATTTTCTCTTGGTAAATCTTACAATTCTACTGTAGAAAAACCATTCTTGGAGCTAGTGAAATATTGTGAAAAGGACTTGTACAATGTGGACTTGTATAAAGTGTAATTCAGATTGAGCGTGTAACACTTAGGCCAATTATTAAATTTAGAAACTCTCGGCCACGTAAAAGCTGATGAGAACTACTTCATTCTTATTAGACCATCTCCGACCACATACCGTTGACGTACTTGCCCTTCGCGACTGGAAAAATAGAGTGACTTTGCAACTACAAATATTGAGCGAGAGCCTTTTGTGTTCCATCGCGATCAATTTATTGATTACCAAATTTAACTAAGGAATAGGAATCAGGCTAATCATAGAAGCACCTACATTCGATCTGTCCATGACCAAGATCATTTTATGTCGCGACGATTTGCAGGGAAGACGTTACCTCACAATTCAGGGTACTTATTTTCTAAATGGTATCCGTCCATTTTTTAAAACCAGCAAGATCCTCATTATTTTTTTTCTAGTATATCTAGGATCATCGTGTTTCCAGTCATTAAAAATCATCTACTGTTCTCTGTCTTGTAATCGCAAGGCGATCCTTCATGCCCGTTCCACCCGACTTATTTAAAT